TATTTTACAGGAAGTTTCTTTATCCCACCCATTGAAGTAGTTCTTCCCTGGAATCCCACAACGTAGGGAGAGAAATGAGGAGAGTTCTAATCAAAAAGAACCAAAAAAAAACATGCATGTCTCCTTTAGGACTCAAAAAAAAAAAAAGACTCCAGCTGCACTGTCTCTATTCTTATGCAAACTCCTGGATGAGAGATAAGGTGGCTCCTCTAGTCTCCAGGGAAAGAATTTTAACTCTAAAATGGCTAATTACATTAAATGCCCCTTCTGGAAAAAAACTAACAACTAAATGGAATTTATATTCTGTAAGGAAGAGCAAGTTAGATTTAAAGATAACTAGAGAAACCATTTGTAGGTCTTCATTATAAAAGCAAGGATTCCAGTGATAAATGTTTTAGACTTCATTGGCATTTAGTTAAAATGAAAACTTGAGACAATAATTGAGAAAACTCAAGTCAAAAACATATCTTCAACTTTCTACTCCAAACAGTAGTAAGAAGAGTTTTGGGGGATGGGAGTGGGGCAAAAAAAAAAGCTAGTTAATTCCTTCAATCTTCATTTTCTAACTAGCCGGTTGGGCATAGTGAAAAGAGTATTAGATTTGGACTCAGAAGGCTTGCATCCAGGTCCTCTGGGCTGGTCACTTAATTTCTTTGAAGTCAGCTCAAGTTTCCTTATCTGTATGCACATAAATAAAAAGTAGATGATAATGATGATGATGATGATGATGACGGTGATGACTATATAGCACTTTAAGGTTTGTAAAGCACTCCACAAATATTATCTCATTTTTATCCTTACCACAACCTTGAGGACTTGTTGTTATTGTTATTGTTATTGTTGTTGTTGTTGTTGTTGTTCAGTTGTGTCCAACTCTTCCTGACCCCATTCTGGGGTTTTCTTAGCAAAAATACTGGACTGGTTTGCCATTTCCTTTTCCAGCTCATTTTACAGATGAGAAACTGAGGCAAGCAGGGTTAAGTGTCTTGCCCAAGGTCACACAGCTAGTGAGTGTCTGAGGCTAGATTTGAACTCATGAAAATGAGTCTTCCTGATTCCAAACTCAATGCTCTATTCTTCTAAGCTTCCCTGAGGGGTAGGAGCTATCATTATCCCCATTTTACAGATGAGGAAATTAAGGCAGGCAGAAGTCAAATGGCTTGTCTAAGGTCACTCAAGGCAAGATAATTTTTCTGCTATGTATATCACACATCTATTGTAAAGAAAACATTTTAAAGTGCTATGATCTATTATTGTGACATAGGAACACAAGCATATATGCACCCATTTTCTATACAGACACTAAGTAGATTTTCTATAGCAACGATAGCTATTGATACCTACTTTTGCTACTAATAGACTTCTTTTCCCTATTAAGGATGAATATGCAAACCTGAGCAAAGAACTCAAAGCTATAGATGAGAGAGATGAAGAGTTGGAATCTGAGGGCAGCCAAGGTTGCTTTTGAAGGTTCCAAAGCCCCATGTTACTACATAACCTGAGAGTCACTGGGATATTGATTCAGGAAGCAGCATGGTGTAATGGAAGGAGCAGTATGTCTAGAGTCAAAAGACCTAGCTTCAATCCCACTTCTGACATTTACTAGCTGTGTGACCTTAGGCAAGTCAGCTGAGTTCAGTTTTCTCATCTCTATTTAAATGAGGGGTTTGGACTAGATGACTTCTGAGATCCCTTCCAGGTCTTCATTTATGTCTACAAACCCTGAGGCTGCCTCTGGAATCCTAAACCTTCTTTCCAAACCAATGCAAATTATTTCAGAATAGGATAAAGTAGACAAACAGAGCATCCATATTGTACTGCCTCCCTCAGTTTCTTTCCCCTTCTCCCTCACCCTTGCTCATTCTGCCTCTTACATTTCCTCTTCCTTCTTTCAGTAAATTAATGAACAAAGCAGTTATTAAGTGTTTTGTTTGGTATTTAGGCCCATCTGAATAAAAAATGGCATAAATTCTTAGAAATGCAGTAATGCTCTATAATTTTCCAATCAAAATTAATGAAATTATGTTTTTTGTTACACAGATTTTTCAGCTTAAGGACCATTCTCACAGAACAGATTTTGTCTTTGTAGGCAGAAATTGCTATTAAAGCTAGAATTGATTTTAACTCAATATAAAATATAAATGCATCTAAGAGAGGAGCGGGCAAACTACGAGGAGAATTCAAGGAATGGAGAGATTACTTTTGATTGGAGGAATAAGAGAAAGCTGCATGGAAGCAATGACATTTGAGGGCAGGCCTTGAAGGATAGGTAAAATTTTAGGAAGCAATATATCATAGATTTAGAGGAAGAAGGGACGTTAGTGATCATCTAATCCAAGGGTGGGGTGTAACCCTTTGACTGAATCCAAACTTAACACAACAAATCCTCTTAATAAAAGGATTTGTTCTGCAAAACTTGTACTTGGTCAAAAAGCCACACTTGAAGACCTAGAAGACACCACATGTGTCCTGGAGGCCAAAAGTTCTCCACGCTTGAATCCAATGCCCTCATTTTAGAATTAATGATACTGAGGACCAATGAAGTGAAGTGACTTATTATGTAATTATAGGTAAGTCACTTACCCACTATGTGCCTCATTTTCCATGTCTGTAAAATCGAGATGCTAATACCTATGATTTCTACTTCCTAGAACTGTTTTGAGGATCAAGGCATTGAGGATATAAGGTATTTTTCAAACTTTTAAAATGCCATATAAATGTCAACTATTGACATTATTATTAAATAATTGCCCAGGGCATAGTGTAAGGGCCAGACTTGATAACTTATTTTGATAAGTTATTCCATATGATTTATTTAGTGCAGAGTGTACTAAGAATAATAATAAACATAATCCTTGTCTTAAATTGCACCTGAATACACAAAAAAATTTCAGCGTCAAAATACTTAATGACAGAACATAACTGCTAAAAGTGTGACATTCCTTGTCTTCATTTTATGGAGGAAAAGAGAAATAATGAAATTGGAGATGAAAGGGAGGGGATGGTTAAAGTATGATGAAAGAAAGCAGTTAAAGAAAGATACAGGGAGGGGCATATATGACAGCAAAACCAAATGAAACATCTTGAAAATTCCAGATGTTTTATCATCATAACAGCTCACACTGATGCAGTGCTTTATAGTTACAATGCATTGTATATACATTGCTTTATGAAATCCTTGGGAAGTATTTAGTATAATTATGATTATTCCCAGTTTACAGTTAAGAAAACTGAGGCTCTGTGAATTTTAGTGCCTTGCACATTCCATTCAACAGGCATTAACCACCTACCATAAAGTCTTTCCCAATCATTTTAACCTTAGTGCCTTTCCTCTTATACAACTACCCCCAATTATAGCTTCTTCGTACATAGTTGTTTACACATTATTTAACCCATTAGATTGTGAATTCCTTGAGAGTAAGGACTATCTTTTGCATTTCTTTGTATCCCCAGTGTTTAGCATATTGTTATTTAGTCATTTTTCAGTCATATCTGACTCTTCGGGACTTCTTTTGAGGTTTTCTTGGCAAAGATACTGAAGTGGTTTGCCATTTCCATCTCCAGCTCATTTTTTACAGATGAGGAAACCGAGGCAAACATGATGAAGTGCTCAAGGTGACATAGTTTATAACTGTCTGAGGCCTGATTTGAACTCAAGAAGAGGAATTTTCCCTACTCCAGACCTGGCATTCTATCCACTGCACCACCTAGGTGCCTAATAAATGCTAGTTGACTTGGGTTGACTTGTTTGACTCCAGAGATATAAAGACAAAAGGGAAACAGTCCCTGTTCTCAGTAAGAGGATTGAGATCTCTGTGGGTAGAGTTTCCACTGCGTGGATTCCCTTTCCTGATTCTCCCAGTTGCTATTCCCCACCCCATCACTGTATATTCATTTTGTACACATCCTGTATTTATTTACCTGTAAATAGCAGAATGTTAGCTCCTCAAGGGCAGGCACTGCCTCATTTCTGTATCCGTATGCCTAGATCCTACCATAGTACCTAGCACAGAATGGGCATTTAATACATGCTTGGTTAACTGACTGATACCCTAAACTACTGAAACCACAAATCTTTCCTCCTATTAGATTGTGAATTGTCTAAGGGCAAGGACAGGGGTCTTTCATCTCTTTTTCCCTAACAGTTACTTTGTATTTAGTAGGTGATTTCAAACTATTTCTTAAATTGAATTGAATTGAACTGTCTTGCTCTTAGATTCTAGAATTTTTCTTCTTTCTAGGCTATGATTTGGCCAACAGAGACATTTAAGTCTTAGTTCTAAATCCTCCTGGATCATATTCCTGCTGGTTGGTTTGTTTCTTACAATAACAAAATGCTTTTGAGGAAACTTGGTATTTCATTAGTCATTTGTTTGATTTTATTCTTGACTCTCACCAGGTCTTGTCTACCAAGGCTAGAGGGTTTTCCTGAAGCCTTTTTCTGACTATAACAAGAGAACCTTCCCTTCCCCACAGAATCAATGCTGTGTACTCTCACCATTCCTATTATGGAATGTTTGCAATGTTGCCTGAAGCTATCTGACACTTGCAACAATATGTGTATTCATTGGAATATTAAACAGTAAGAGAACTCTCAACAATTCAAGCATGGTACTTTTTTTTTTTTTGCCCTATGATTTGTAGGCTACAGATCCCTTGATTCTAGCTTCTTTCTCCTCCCTCATCCTGTCCTCTCCCCTTAAAAAAAAAACGTGCATTTCACGGCAAATTTCGTGCCAAGATTTATGACAATTAGTACTCAAATCCATAATTAGCAAGTGGTAACAGATAGGCAGATATATCCAGTTATAGTGACACCTCTGACAGATTGACGTTTTTTTCTTCCAGGAATACCTGTGAGGCTTTGTGTTTTAAATATGACCATTTTCTCAAACATATTGCTGGCAAGCCTCATCTTGCACTTGGGGAGGGGGGAGGGGGCTATAAAATGAACGTGTTCTCACAAGCATGGCAAAGCCCATGCATAACCATTTGGCTTTGCAATTAAAAACAGGTTTGGTCTCCCTCTGCATCAGTAAGACGACGTCAAAGCTACATTCACCCCGAAAAATTTCCCTTGTGAATTCAAATGAACTGTGAGTCTTGGGTTTCTCTTTGTTTGCATGTGCATGTCTTCAGACTGAAATTTTGGAAGGTTTGGTTATGTTTTCTTTATGCCATGTGCTGTTTATATGTGCGTTCAGTCACTGTTACCAAAATAGTCTCTGCTTGTTATACTTTCCATGCTATATTCTTCTATCTGCTGTTTGGTTGACATTTTAGATACCTTTAAAAATAATTTCTTGCTACCATCGTTTCAGCTAATACAGATTTTCCAGTGTGGCACCCCCATTCCCAAGAAAGTCATCACTCATTCTAAAAGACCAACTGAGCTATTCACTAGTACCGACCAGAGGGTTGTTGTTGTTGTTTTTTAATAGTTCAAACATACACATTACAGGAAGGGGTAATCGTGACTCACTAGCATTCTTTGCTATACCCATACCTGACACCCTATATGGTTTTTTTGGAACCCATAATCCTAAAGGAAATTTCCATCTGGAAACTAAAATTTTTGCCATCATTGTATGTAGAAGAGCTTCAATTTTAGTTCCAATGGGTTCACCGACTCCCTGCTCAGGCAGTTTTTGTTTATTGAAATTTTAAACTTCTCCTTCATTCATTTTCCCTTTCCCCACCCAGTTAGGGGGTGGGGATACACACACACACACACACACACACACACACACACACACAAATATGCAAAAATCTTTCTTCTCTAATTAAGAAACAATCCAGATAATTCCTTTTTTTTAGGTCAACTTAAAAGTTACAACCTCAGAAAGGACTTCATTCCAACAAACATTTGTTAAGCAACTACTGTGTGCAGGGCACTGAATGATACTTTGGCAGAGGATGACTTGACATAAAGATTATTCTGGCTACAAGTCTCAAAAAAAAATCAGCTCCATCCTCATCTATAGGATAGCCCAGTTGTCTTAACAGATGTGAATTAAATTACCCACCTGCGAATCCAACTGATTGCCACAGAATTAATTAAGATAGTCAAAAAAAACTGGATAGACTGGCCTATGATGAAGTTAGTGGCCAAATGTACAAACAGGAGTTATCAAATTTTCTGGGATCTGGTGAAAATAAGTGTTCTTTAAATTTTATTAATAAAGTCTTGATATGTTTCAAAAGAAAAGGCACTACAAAATTACCAACCACTATGGCTGTTAATATTTGGGTAGAGGTGGTGATAAGTGGTGGTGATAAACGTGGTGAAAAGGCTCAGTAAAAAATAAAAATGATATTCTCAGTGTAGTAGACTTCAACCAAAGTCTTTGCCTAAGTAGTTTTATTGAATGATTCTCTGTTTCATTCAAGAAGGAATTACTATCACCTACATCAAGAATTTCAAGACTTCTTATTCAAAATTTCCACTTTTAAAAAGTAATCAAAGTCTTTTCAGAGTGCCTGGAAAATGTTCAGATGTCATAAAAATTCTAAAATTATAATAAATTAATTTCATTACAGTAAATCTATGGTTCATAATAGGGGGAGTAAATAATAAAATTCATCATAAAACAATTTAAACTTTAAAGCACCATTGATGCTACTGATAATACTAATCATGATTAAGTTGCTAATTATATTTGTGTTAATACATTAAGAAGTCCTTAAGTTGCAAAATGACAAACATATTTTGACACACATTCTATCTATACCCAAAAATATGGACATGTATTTGTAAATACTAGCTAATTTTCCTTTAAGGAAAAAAAAATATATTTTAAAGCTCTTAAAACTTTGCATACAAAAAACCATGTTTGTTTTTCATCTTATGGACTCAGTAAATTGGGGGGAAATAAACTGGATTAGTCTAAATATAAAAGTCTATTGTAACATCAACATAGGCACTGAGTTTCCCCTGAATTCTGGATTTATCAGCCAGTATAGCCCATTTTCTGCGAGACTTTTTCCTTAACTTTGACCTCACATTTCCTGCAATGTATCAGTTACAACTTTCTAGAGAAAACAGAGAGCATATATTTAGGTAGTTAGATAGATTAAAATATTTTAATAAGCAACTTCAAACTAAACAAAAACAAAACAAAATATTATTTATATAAAAACAATGAAATATTATATAAATGAAATCAATTATGAACAAAGAGTTGATCTGAAAAATCAAAATCTTCACCAGATTTCAGTCACCCCTTTCTTTAGAAAAAGACCAGTGTTAACTAAAACTCTCTATATAAAAAAATAGCCACCACAAATAAAATCCAAGATTTGATATGAAAAACAGACATCTCGATCAAAAGTTAGAGTAAGTTTAAAAAAAAAAACTAAAAAAAAGTCAGTTTACATAGTACATTCTTCCATATCTTAGTGCAATGGCTTTATTTTGCATTCCCTAATTACTGATTATCCATTTGTCTGAGGTTTTGTAAGAGAATTGAAGGGGTAAATGAGGCTCTTTGAGTCTTTTAAAATGAACATATACTGTAATTAGAAAGGCTTAAAATATCTAATAAATGACAAGATTAGGTGACTAGCATAATTAGACAAGGGTTAAATAGTGACTTGTTCAGAATTCATTTGAGTTTGTGATCGTCTGTTTTTGAGCTAGTACGAGTGGGCCAAATATAATGGATTGTTTCTTTAGTAAGGCATTGAGGAATTTGAAGGTTATTAATGAAAATTCTTAGATCTTAATCATTGTCTTGAGTTTTGGTAACTTCAGTGCCTACATGTAAAAGAAAGGTCTACACATAAGCTAGTCATTATATATCATTACAGTAATTTGTTATATTCTGGGGCAAAAAAAGATCACTGTTGATCTTACTCCTGACAGCTACCATCAGATAGTGTTTACAACTCCAAAAAAATTAAAAAGTAAAAATAAAATAATAATAAACGCTGGCACTTTTAATGAGAACTAAGAGAAATGGTCACTTATTTTGATTGATTAAATATATCTTTACTTTCATTATTTTAAGAATTAACATATAACTAAAATTGTGAATCAAATTCTCAGAATGAATTAATTATGTGGGGAAATATAATGAAGAAAATATTTAAACACCTGCAGATTTGAACTAGCAATATCGCAAAGACATAGAAATCATATGTTCCTTCTCAATGTACTGAAATGTAAAAAAGGGGAAAAAAATGCTTGTATTTGAAGTTTGTAATACCGGTCTCAATTCCGGTTTAAAAAACTAATAGCTGGTGACTGCCACTCTGGCTCCCCTACTCAATTATTTGGTCACCCTCTCTTTCCAGAACGGTTTCCTGGCCTGGAAAATTTGACCTCGCTTATAGGTGTGTTGTGAGTAGTCGCTAGTAAAAATGATTATGAAGTACTCTGCAAAAAACGAAGCTGTGAGAAAACGCTTATAAAATTATGAGAATTGAGCAGAGAAACTACAGCAGAGTTCTTTGTATGCCTTAAAGGAAGAGTGGTTTAGAAATACTTAGGTTCAGGACATTATGAGGCCAATGCTATGGTAATTTAGGTCAAGAAAAACATGCTCACAGAATATTTCACAACAGATTTCTAGGGAGAATGAAAAACAGCATCTTGGGAGTGAATGGTTCACCCATATCAGGCAACCAGCTTAGCCTCTCCCATTAGTCATCATACATCTACAATTTCAGACATAATTGAAAATCAACCAGACAAGTTTCTCTCAGATATCATCCATGTTTTCAGTTAGCTCTGAAGACCCATGAATCCATAAAAAGCTAAATGTGAAGAAAAGGGATATGGACTGGAGATGGTTCATTGGTATAGGGAATTCCTGGATGAAGAAACTTTACACCTTACAGTCTTGGAGAGCTATCTAGAGCAGAGGTGTCAAACATGCTGCCAGAACCAGATTAAAATGTAATTGAGGGGGCAGGTAGGTGGCTCAGTAAATAGAGTACTGGCCCGGGAGTCAGGAGGACATGAGTTCAAATCTGGCCTCAGACATCTAATACTCACTAGCTGTGTGACTCTGGGCAAGTCACTTATCCCCATTTGCCTCACCAAAAAAAAAAAATGTAATTTGGAAATATTTAACACAATAAATAAAAATATAATAGAACATGTCTGTTGTTGTTTGGTCGTTTTCATTAGTGACCTACTCTTTGTGACTCCATTTGGGATTTTCTTGGCAGAGATACTGGAGTGGTTTGTCATTTCCTTCTCTAGCTCATTTTACAGATGAAGAAACTGAGGCAAGCAGGGTTAAGTGACTTGCCCAAGGTCACACAGATAGTAAGTATCTGAGGCCAAATTTGTACTCAGGAAGATGACTCTTCCTGACTCCAGGCCTGGTGCTTTATCTACTACACCACCTTGCTAACCCCTAATAGAACATAGATGATGTTAATATGTGCTTTTCTAAGTCAAAATGTAGACAGAAAAGATCCTCATGTACTATTTAGTGGCCCTGTTTCTGTTAGAGTTTGACACCACTGGTCTAGAGCACTGAGAGGTTAAGTGACTTAGCCAGGGTCTTACAGCTATTACATGTCAAATACCAGATTTGAAACTAGGTTTTCTAACCTTTGATGATAGCTTTCTATCCATTACACTGTGCTGCCTCTAGAGACAGGGAGAGAGACTGTCTTTTCTTTTTTTTTAACTTACACATTAAATGACCATGTCTATCTTTGGCCAAACAACTTGACCAAGGGTTAACCGAACAATGTAAATTTGATCAAGTTAACAATCTATTAACTGGTAGGCTATCCACAGTGAAACAAAGAGACCAATTACACTATGCTAAGCCCGACTTACATCTTTAAAAATACAGTTTTGCAAAGCACTAAAATAAGAATAGTATTATTATTAGTGTTTTAAGGATACTTCCAACATTTAAAAATGGGACCATTTTGGTCAGCACAACAGACTCAGATCTAAGCATTTAGAGATTCTGGAAGAAAAGTGAGGGGAAAAAAGCAGAAAAATTCATTTCCATGTTGATGACAAAAGAAGGCACATTCATATTTTTTTATCCTGAGATACTCTTTTGTGTCTATTCTATATAGCTCTATAAAATCAAATAACAGCAACAATGATAGTAATAGCTGACAC